CTAATCCAGGAACTACATGACTGAGTCTTTGGGGATCCGAGAAAGAATCAGTGTGATATTAGTTTGAATGTTAGTTTGATGTTGGTTTCTGACACTTTTGTGTTAGCTTTTCATTCCTATGACAAAATGCCTGAGAAAAACAAAGGAGTAAATATTTGTTTCAGAGGTTCATATTCGGTTGCCTCCATTGCTTTGGGCCTGAGGCAAGGCAGAACAGCATGATAAAAGAGCATGGTAGACAAAAACTGCTCACCTTATGGCAGCCAGGAAGGAGAGAGAGAAAAATGGAAGGGTTTGGGGACAAAATATAGTCCCCAAGGGCATGCCCCCAAGAGCCTACTCCCTTCTGCTAGGTTCTACTTTCTACAATTTCCACCACCTTTCAGGATACCATTCAGCTAAGAATTCATCTATGGATTAATCCACGGATGAGGTCAGAGCCTTCATGAGCCAATCACTTCCCCTAAAACCCCACTTCTGAATACTGCTATATTGGGGACCAGCCCTTCGCCACATGAGTCTTGGTGAATATTCCAGATATAAACCATTACAATTTCAAAAGAAATATTTTCTTGTGATATATATATATATATACACAATAGAATATTACCTACCACAAAGGAGAATGGAATTATGGCATTTGGTGGTAAATGGATGGAACTGGAGAATATCACGCTAAAGAAATAAGCCAATCCTAAAAATCCAATGGCCTAATGTACTCTCTGATTTGTGGATGCTAACCCAAAACAAGGGAGGTTGGGGGTGGGAAAAATAGAAACTGATTGGACTAGACAAAGGGTAATGAAGGGAAGCAGGGAGGGGAATGGGAAAGACAGTAGAATTAATTGGTCTTAACTTCCTAGCCTTGTTTTGTATATATGACCCAGGTAACTCCACATCATGTATGACCTCAAGAGTGGGAATCTAATAGAATAGGTTATATTTTGTGTATGTTTATTCTACCAAAATACATCCTAATGGCATGTACAACTACTAATAAAAAAAATTTAAGAAATACTTTCTCATTAGTTAAACAAAAGCTCCTTACATCTGTCCGTTCACTCACCATACTCGGTGATGCTGTATCTTTGCCTTTTGCTGTAAGGTTTTTAATATCTGCATCCATGTTACCAAAAGACTGCCATTTCAGTTGGTGAAATTAAACCTGTATGTCTATATTTTTTCTAAGAGCAGATGAGTCTAAAATGTCTGTAATATATTCTTATCTAATTCCGACCTTTGAAAGTTTGCCATCCCTTTCCTAGGAGAATAAGATTTGCTATAGGGAGTTATACTTTGAAAGTTAGTTATTCCTTTCTCTGCATTATTTATGAGTTTTTTTTCATGAGTGCAATTGTAATATTTCTGTTATACACCACTGAATTTGTATTTAGTGAATAGAATTTACATTTGATCAGTTTGTACTAAAGTGACTTAATGAGATGCCTCACTTTTCTGTATTAAAAGCAGGTCAAGGCCAAATGAAAGACTTAAGGCAATACATTATTCAGTGCTCATTTTCAGCATAACTTGTATCTTACGATGATTCATGATTTAAGTAAACCAGTTAATAACAGTTTCTATCACTAGTACTAATAATTTTCTGAGGTCAGATGTTTCCTATTAACCTATTGGCAAACTTTTAAATTCCACCAATATAAAGGAATTCTCACACTTTTGTTTTCTAAACTGAATATCTAGAAAAAAAGATTGCATCAAACTGTGAAAGCCTAGAAAAAGCAATGAAGGAGACCATAGGAATGGTCATTTGATTGATGATGTTAAGTCTTTAACATCTGCAGTTATACAAAACAGCAAAATAGATTGGAATTTTATTCTCATCCATCTGATGTACCTGACCTTGTGTTCAAGAAAAAAAAAAAAAAAAAAAGAAGAGAAAAGAAAGCAAAGAAAAATGGGAAAGGCATGAATTATTTATCTGCACAGGATGTTTTACTTCCTGTTTCCTCTCCAGACCTTACATTTGCCTGAGCACCTTGCCTCTTTGTTCATTAAAGAAGACAAAAGCCACATACAGTAACTCTGACACCTTCAGGCCTCCATACCTCCTGGGCCTGCTTCCCCTCTTCTCTCTGGCAGTAAGAAAGCTGACACACGTTTTCCTGCAAGGATTTTCCTCAGTGTGCCATCTGGATCCCATCCTTCTCACCGCCTCCCCAGGTTGTTGTTCATCTCTTTTCTATTTCCTGCCATCTTTTCCTTTCTCCTCTTTTCACCATCAACCCTTTGTGTTCTAGTGACTCCCCCACTTTAAAGGAGTCTTTCCTGGACCCCAGGTTCCCCCGACAGGTACCACCATGTGTGTTTCTGCTCCCCTCTGCCAAGGAGCTGTGAAGACTTGCCAGGCACAGACTGCCACTTTCTATCTGCTCTGTCCCTTCAGGAACTGTCCACCTGAGGTGCGTAAATTCGGTGGCAGTTAAGTCCTTGTCATCTCTGTCTCTGAACTATGGCTTCCTCTTGAGATTTTTCTCTTTCTTTCCCTCACATCATACTCCAAAAAAGTAAGAAAATCTAACATCCTGATTTCCCCCCTGCCTCTCTGGGAACTCACTCTTAGCTTTTTTTGATCCTTCTGCTCTATTTCACTCTAATTCACATGGCTTTAAACCACATTTTTATGATGAAGCCTTCTACTTTATTATTATTTTTTAAAATATTAAGTCACATCTTCCTTAAGCCACGTGCTGTAAATGTTATTTCTTGACATCTCCACTCGTCTGTCTCACATAAGTGGAAATCTCATCCAAAGTGAAACTCTGCTTCTTGTCCCTAGCCCTCAGTTATCCCTGAACTGGTCACTCTTCCAGACACCGGAGGCCACGTCAGAAACCTGGCGGTTACTCAAGATTCTGTTCTGTTACTCATCCACATGTTGAATCCACCACCATGTCCTGTTCATTCTCAATAATACATCTGAGTCCTTCCTTTTCTGACCATCTCCATGAATAAAAAAAGCCACTAAATGTTTTCAGCTAGGTAATGACAATAGCTTCCTGTCTCTTCTCTCCTGGCAGTTTTGCTCACTTTTAATCTGTTTTGCACACAGCAGCTAGGGTGATCTCTTAAAATTCTGCATTAAAATTATTTTTCATTTGACAGAGAATGAAACCTCACTTTTTAGCATTTCCTTTAGACTCCACATGATCTAGCCTCTGCCTCATTGGTCCTCAGAATGTTTCCTTAAAAGGCATCCACCCCCCAAAATAATAATAATTATCTGGGCCTTTGCAATAATKTGGGCTGTTTGCTTGAAATCTTCTTTTCTCCATGTTCCACATTGGGACATTTCTCTGGAACCTCAGGAAATGCTATTTCTGAGCAGAATTTCCCCCACAGTTATTCATAATCCACATGGAAATGCTTCCCCTGATATTGTCTCTCAGAGAACATTATTGTATTTCTCTACAGAGCTAATCAGCTATCATACTGCATTAAAAGGCAGCCTGGGAATGGTTGGAACAATAGACTMTTATTGCACTGCATAATTGTCACTTTCCTCATTATTAATCACGTGACTACGGACAACTCAACCTCTCCTAAAGTTTCTCATGGATCAAATGACAATGTTTCTCTTGTAGGGCATTTGCAGAGGAGATGATTATTGTTTTTACAGTTTGTATTAAATTGAGTACATAGTAAATACCATGTAAGTGTTTGCTTATGGATATATGGTCCATATGAGTGTGTGCAAGTGTATGCATGAATAATTTGCTTAAATCTGAAAGCACAAAACTATTTCTTGCTTTCATTCTCGGCTACTTGTAAACATTTGCTTTGCAAATAGCTAATGAATTTTGAGTGTACCTTATAAAGTCTCATTAATCTTCAGAGAAAAAAGAATGCTGCACTATATTTGTAAGAATTTGTTATCACTTGTGGCCCACCCATTCAAAGCACTGAATTAAATGTTCTTTGATCTGACAATAACCTTCAACATTTTGTCCAGCCAGTCCTTTGCCTTTGAGAAAGTCTGACTTTTATTCCAGTTTTGAACACATATGAAGTCTGGGCCCCAGTAGCCTAAGGAACTGACAAAAGTTCGAGTTAATAAACAATGGGAGTTTTTCATCATCTTATCCTGGAGTGTGCAGTACTCCTATTGTTCTCATCCTTTTGGAAATACCCAGTAAACTGTGTGAATCCACTTTATAGAATTGTGAAATTACTTTGTTGCTTATTCGTAACTTTTCAGTTTGGAGCAGGTATCATGGGAGAGTTTAAATTCTGTCCTCTCACAGCCTCTTATTGCTGAGAGCTTTGTCACTCAGAGCAATCACTATGTGCAGTAATCGACTTGCCCTTCACTTACCTCCACAATCCCTGTGTTCTTTATTTTTATCATCTAGAGAGTGGCATTTGTAAAAGGCTACCAGTTGATCTTGGTTCATATTACCTTTTGGTTTGAGCTAACATGGACTCTACTTTCACATTTCAAAACTGCTATCCTCCCCTATCATCCAGTGTCCTCTTTTTTTTAACCAACCTTTTCTGACAAGAAGCAATTAAAAATTAAAAATCCCTGCATCCTGGGCAGGTATCTCATATCAGTTTTTATTTATTTATTTTTATGTGGTGCTGAGGATCGAACCCAGGGCCTTGCACGTGCAAGGCCAGTGCTCTACTGCTGAGCCATAACCCCAGCCCTCATATCAGTTTTTAATGTGGAATTCATATCATTGTTTTTGTTTTGTCTATATGATCCTCAGATTTGGGGACTGGAAGGGACCTCACATAACTCAAATTTATAAACAGGGAAACCAAGATTAGGAAGGTGACTGGCTCAGGGTTAACAGTGTAAGCTGGAGGCTTAAATGGAAGCTGCCATTTTTATCTTTGGCCTTTTGTTACTTAGACACTCTTCCTTTTGAAAGAGATAGCAATGCAATGAGGTCGAGATGGGTAAAACTAATTTGTTGAAAATTGTATGTTTGATCTTCATGTTCATTTATGCATTTTCTTTTTTTTATTTTTTGTAGTTCAACAGCAATGCTCAGGATGTAAGCTGTTTCCAGCACCTTGTTCAAGCAAATGTAAGAAATAAGAAAGTGTTGAAAGATGCAGTGAATAACATCACAGCAAAAGGAATAACCGATTATAAGAAAGGCTTTAGTTTTGCTTTTGAACAACTGCTTAATGTAAGTAGCAATACTATGCCTTTTTTTCCTGTGATTGAATTGTTATATCTGAATCTCATTATCTTGAGATCTACTGTCTTTAAGGTTTCTTAATAGTGCTGTTTTTACTTCTTTAGAAATCAGATGTACCAGATGGACACAAACTACCGATATGTCCAGGCAGTAGAAATCTTTGAACTACTTTTTTTTTTAAAAGAGAGAGTGATAGAGACAGAGAGAGAGAGAGAATTTTTTAATATTTATTTTTTAGTTTTCGGTGGACACAACATCTTTTTATGTATGTGGTGCTGAGGATCGAACCCAGGCCGCACACATGCCAGGCGAGTGTGCTACCGCTTGAGCCACATCCCCAGCCCTAAGAACTACTTTTATTTTTAAATCCAAAATTCAAAAGCTGTATACTCTATCAATCTTCTTTTTCCTTTAAATCATTTTCCCCAAAATTCTGTTATTAAAAAAATCATTTGTAAGCTAATATTTTGATTTTATTTTGTATAAGCATGTGAAAATGGGTTGACTTATGTAGACTGACATTTTTTTTCTTATCTCAATTGCTACACTATTTATTTGGATACTTGTAGTATCGATCATCAATGGTTACTAAAAATATTTTAGTTTTGACGATCTCATCTGTATATTTAGGTTTCTTGTTCCTAAATGAACACAAAGGTCCAAATGATAGACCTTAAGATGAACAGAAAGACAAGTCTTGTTGCAGGAATTCCTTCTCAGCAAAGATTCCAGTGCATCACCTTTGGAGGTCTGCACGTAGACTGGCAGACCCTGGCATGCTGCCTGCCCCCCTCATGGTATAGCAGGCAGCTCACTCTGTGGACAAGTATCTTCAAATGGCCATGWCCTCTATTTCATGCTGTGGCACTTGATTTTTGCATCCCTCATGAGGAAGTATTATTACAAAGGTTGAAAAATGGGGACCTGTCTTCCCTGTACTTTAGTTTCCTCACTTACACAAGTGGGGGTCACCACAGCTTACTTGTGAGAGGGCTGTGGAGAGGATGGTCCAGAGAACACAGCACATAGCACACCACCTGCAAGTGATGGCTATCAGGTGGGTTTGGGGCTCATGATCATCATTGTTACTATAATTGATGATTAGCCTGGGGCTGTTACAGTCAGCTCATCCTTCCTGTCATATTTGCCAGATCACTGAATAAATCAACCTTCACCTATAGTCTTTTCTGAAAATCTGACTTCATTGTTCTCTGAGTGAATAGTCTAAACAGTGTTTGAGATCCATTCATTTCTTCTCTCTGCCAATATTTATTGAGTACCTTTCAATTTCCTATCATAGTACCAGGGTTAGAATTATAGGAAGAAAGATCATCTGCTTTCAAGAAGGTCTAGTCTAATGCACTGGATCATCATTCACATTATGATGGGGAAAGTGCCCTTGCGTGGCGTTCATGTTTGCTGAAGCAGCACAGAGGAGAGGCAGCTTCTGTACTCCAAGGAAGTTAAGAAAGGGTAGCATTTCCTTGAAAATGGAATTTTGAACTCTGAGTAGAATCTAGGAAGGTAGATGAGAGAGGGAAAATCATCTTAAGAAAAAAACAAGACAGTGTGGGTAAAACAGAGAGATGAGACAACATGATGACATAATGAAAACATTGCAGCTGGTTCGGCATGGCTGGACTGTCAGCAGTTTGAGAGCAGTGATAGAAATGGAAAGGCTGTGAGATATCAGTGAAGAGAGTAAGAGCAAACTAAAAGCTCAGAGCACGAGAAGGGTATGGTGAGGGGTGTTCTGTAAGGAAGCGTTACATACATCCTGGGTGGGAGTACAGGTGAAAAGGAGGTGGGTGTAATTGATGGATGGCACAGGAGGGGTTGCTGAGAGTAGAAGGGGACTTAGATGACACCAAGTTCTCTGAACTGGACTACGAGGCAGATGGTGGCACAGGAAACTGATGGGGAAATATGGGGTAGAAATAGCTTCAGTTCAGATATGTAAAATTTGAGGTCAAGTTTTATTTATTTAACAGACCCTGTTAGATACGCAGTAAGGAGACAGGAAAATAAAGATGTTTAACATTGCCATTTTTAGTAGAAATTATCTTTAGTGAAATGACTATGCTTATTAAATAGTATATGTTCATGAATAAAAACTGAAATCTCAATACTTCAAAATTCAAATGTAATTTATCATTAGATTGAGATATATTTGTCCTCAAGTAAAGGAATATAAATTCTCTTTTTTAGTAAGAGGTTTTTTTTTATTCTTTTATCTTGAGTAAATAGTAGAGTTTTCTAAATCTTGGTGTTTGAATTATTCTTATTATTGACAGTTGGCCTCACCTCACTCACTCCTGTCTGGGTTTCAAAGAAACCTAAAGAAGGGTTCAGAGACAGCCTCACTGGAGGCCGCCTTAACCCCATGTTCGTTCCTAGTGGAGGACAAAACCTGAAAACTCCTATGGCCCCTCCCCCTGCCTTCACTAAAGTCGTAAATGATTTTTAATATGGTGTCTATGCCTCATGTGTTTTTTTTCCCACATATCCCACATGTATTGAAATTTTTTGTTTAAATAATTTTCTCAAGTTTTATGGCTCACTTTATTAAGTTGAGGCATGTTTAGTCATTTCCTTCAAACACTTATGTTCTTATTATGCTATTTAATTCTGTTTTTTTCTTAGTCCTTTCAATTTTACCTTTAAAATCACAGAAGCAACTATCAAATTATAATCAGGCATGTTGTTAAGTACAACAATAAACATTAACTGCATTACTCTTCAGTTATAATTTCATCAAGTCTTATCATTTTTCAAGTTTTTGTTGAATGTTTATTTGATAGATGTTGTGCTATGTGCTGGCCATGTAGGGAAAGAACAGAGTTTGTTTAACATTATCACATTAAAGTGTATTATCAATGCCATTAATTATAAATTTATTGAAATAATCAAATTTTTGCTCAGTTTGTTCAAAGTAATGTTAATTATTATGACTATATGATTTTTACATAATTGCAAACCCATAGAAAATTTGCTATTATACACATTAATCCTACCACAAATCCTGAGGCAGTTACTCCTAGGAAAATTCATGTTGAAATCAAAAGATTTCTTGATCTTTCCTACATTCTCCCATTTTTTGTATGCCCTGATATCTATCTCTACTAGGAAGAGAGTCATACTCAAATATACAAATACACTGACAAATGTATTCATTAATATTAATTATACCTCCAGTGCTTCAAAAAGTAAAAGTATGACCTATGGTAAAACTTTATTTACTGTATCGCTCTTATAAAATAGTCCTTGTGCATATTATTTTGACCATTTTATACATGCAGATAAAAAGATGAAATAGAGAAATTAATTTAGCTAAGGGATTTTTAGGCATCTTTTACACACACACACACACACACACACACACATTATTTTATATTGTACTAGGAATTGAACCCATAAGTGCTATATCCCCATTTGAGACACAGCCTCACTCAGCTGTTTAGGGTTCACTAAATTGCTGAGGCTGGCCTTGAACTTGTAATTCTCCTTATCTTAGCCTCTGGAGTTGCTGGGATTACAGGCACGTGCCACTGTGCCCAGCTCATAAACATATTTTTAAGATAAAATATGTAAAGCTCTGTATAATCAAATTTGCAGATAAGTTATCTTCAAAAGATAAGAACCTACACTTGTAATTCTACAGACTGAGGACACTGAAGCAGGGGATCTCAAGTACCCGGCCTGCACCAGCAACTTAGTGAGACCCTGTCTCAAAAAATAAAAATGGGGGGCTGGGAATGTGGCTCAAGCGGTAGCACACTCGCCTGGCATGCGTGCAGCCCGGGTTTGATCCTCAGCACCACATACAAAACAAAGATGTTGTATCCTCCAATAACTAAAAAATAAATATTAAAAAAAAATAAAATAAAAATGGACTTCGAAATGTAGCTCAGTGTAGGAGTGCTCCGAGTTTAATTCCCAGTACAAAAAGAAAGAAAAGAGAAGAATGTTATAAATGAGTTAATCAATACTTATGTTTTCACAATGCTTCATTAAGAGCTTTTACTGCCAAAGTCCTAATAACTTAGTCAATGAATGAGGTGAGATTGTATGAAACATGATCTTTTCACCAATAGAGAAAAATATTAGCTTTATTAATTTTCACATGAGAAAATGAGATTTATCTTGACTGAAAAGTAAGATAAGGATGTAGACCTTAATAAGCTTGGACGCTAAGGAGAATTAATGATTTTTTAAAGCATTAGGCATTTGAAGTTCAGGGTTGTGCAGTCCAACACAGTAACTATCATCACATGAGGTTGTTGGGCAGTTGGAAGGTGGTTGATTTGAATGGACATGTGTAGAAGTGTAAAATACACAACAATATTCAGAGACTGATGCTGCTGAAAATAAAGCATATTACATTGATTTCATTTTGAATTGGCAATATTTCAGATGACTAAATAAATCATATTATTAGAATTAATTTCATATGTTTTGTATTTACTGTCCTTGAGATGGCTATAAGAAAATTTGAAATTACATATTAGGCTTATATTGCTTTTCCTTTGAATAGCACTGAGCTAGAGGGTTGACATTTTCAAAAAATTTTAGCATCTATAAATTAGTGTGATTTATTTTTTTCTGCATTTAAGGATATACATTTCACAGCAGCAGAAAGCTATGATGATAATATCATACATCAATAAATCCACCTTTCTGAGTTAATTGTTCATTTGTTCAATTTAATGGCCCTTTAGTACTAATTCATTGTTCTCCTGTGTCAACTCCTTTGGAGACCTTAAAGATTAAGAGGACTTATCACTGGAATTGAATCTTTCAGGTGTAGCATATGCAGGCAAGGTTGAGAGAAGAGAGAAAAAAATACCCTGGGAATATCTCAGCATTTACAAAGGAATAAAAGAGTGTTATATGTTAGAGGGAGTTTGTCCTTTGGAAATGTAATTAAAAAATTAGAATGAGGAGGGAAGAAGGAAGAATTATGCGGAAATAGATTGCAATTACACTGAAAAGGTTTTCATATTTTAATATTACTTCCTTGTTTCTGCTATAAAATTGTAGGGTCATAAAATTAACATGTGCATTTATTAACTTAAAGTCCATCTACTAATCAGTCGCTGAGGGATTATTAAGAGCCAGATATTCTTGTAGTCAAAGAAACAACATTGAATGAAAAAAAAATGTCCTGATTTTATAGAGTGTACATTCTATTAGGAGGATCCACCAATAAGCACACAAATAAATAAAATATATACTATGTGTAAAAGAATATAAAATGATATCAAGAGAAATATAGTCTAGGAGGGAGCTTGCAAATTAATACAGGAAGGTCTCACAGATGGGGTAACATCTGATCCAAGATGTGGAAGAAGTGAGGTAGTGACATCTGCCTGGCCCAGGAACAGGTTTTTAGAATCTTTTACTGAGCAGACATTTCCCTCATTACTAGCAGTCTCTGCACGCTCTTTCCTTATTGGTTTATTTTCCATGTCCTTCATTATCAACAATGGGCAATTGTTTTGTTTTAACAGTATAATGTTTCCAGAGCCAACTGCAATAAGATTATCATGTTGTTCACGGATGGAGGAGAAGAGAGAGCCCAGGAGATATTTGCCAAATACAATAAAGATAAAAAAGTGAGTGTAATTATATAATATTTTTATTTTAATGTTTAGGTGGTTGTTAAAAGAGATAGTGGTAATCGTAGTAAGGTGAAACTTTTTGTTTGAAAACATTTAGTCCCAACTGTAAAGTAACATGAACTATGGGTTGTGAAATATAATATTTTCATAAGACACACAAGTGGTATCTGACTAATATGTTAGTAAAATAATTTGGACTTATTGCTCCTATTTGATTCTTATGCATCAATTTTATTTTATTATTTTTCATTTTTTTAAATCTATATATGTCAGAAGAGTGCATTACAATTCATATTACACATATATAGCACATTTTTTCATCTCTGGTTGTACACAAAGTATATTCACACCAATTCAGGTCTTCATACATGTACTTTGGATAATAATGATCATCACATTCTACCATCATTTCTAACCCCATGCCCCTCCCTTCCCTTCCAACCCCTCTGTGCTATCTAGAATTCCTCCATTCCTCTCATGCTCCCTCACCCTACTCCACCATGAGTCAGCCTCCTTATATCAGAGAAAACATTTGGCATTTGTTTTTTTGGGAGTGGCTAACTTCACTTAGCATTATCTTCTCTAACTCCWTCCATTTACCTTCAAATGCCATGATTTTATTCTCTTTTATTGCTGAGTAATATTCCATTGTGTGTGTGTGTGTGTGTGTGTGTGTGTGTGTGTATCTCACATTTTTTAATCCATTAATCTATTGAAGGGCATCTAGGTTGGTTCCACAGTTTAGCTATTGTGAATTGTGCTGCTATAAACATTGATGTGGCTGTGTCCCTGTAGTATGCTGTTTTTAAGTCCTTTGGGTACAGACCGAGGAGAGGAATAGCTGGGTCAAATGATAGTTCCATTCCCAATTTTCCAAGAAATGTTTATACTGCTTTCCATATTGGCTGCACCAATTTGCAGTTCCACCAGCAGTGTATGAGGGTGCCTTTTTGCCCACATCCTTGCCACCACTTATTGTTGTTTGTCTTCATATTAGCTGCCATTCTGACTAGAGTGGTTTTGATTTGCATTTCTCTAATTGCTAGCAATGATGAACATTTTTCCATATATTTGTTGATTGATTGTATATCATCTTCTGGGAAGTGTCTGTTCAAGTCCTTGGCCTATTGACTGATTGGGTTATTATATTTTTTGGTGTTTAACTTTTTGATTCTTTATATACCCTTGAGATTAGTGCTCTATCTTATGTGTAAGGTGTAAAGATTTTCTCCCAAGATGTAGGCACTCTGTTCACCTCACAGATTGTTTCTTTTGCTGAGAAGAAACTTTTTAGTTTGATTCCATCCCATTTATTGATTCTTGATTTTAATTCTTGTGCCACAGGAGTCTTATTAAGGAAGTTGGGGCCTATTCCCACATGATGGAGATTAGGGCCTACTTTTTCTTCTATTAGACACAAGGTCTCTGGTTGTATTCCTAAGTCCTTGATTCATTTTGAGTTTTGTGCATGGTGAGAGATAGGGATTTAATTTCCTTTTGTTGCATATAGATTTCCAGTTTTTTCAGCACCATTTGTTGAAGAAGCTGTCTTTTCTCTAATGCATGTTTTTGGCACCTTTGTCTAGTATGAGACAATTGTGATTTTGTGGATTAGTCTCTGTGTCCTCTCTTCTGTACCATTGTTCTTACCAGTCTGTTTTGGTGCCAATACCATGCTGTTTTTGTTATTATTGCTCTGTAGTATAGTTTAAGGTCTGGTATAGTGATGCCATCTGCTTCACTCTTCTTGCTAAGGATTGCTTTAGCTATTTTGGGTCTCTTATTTTTCCAGATRAATTTCATGATTGCTGCTTCTATTTCTATGAGGAATGTCATTGGAATTTAGATCAGAATTGCATTAAATCTGTATAGTGCTTTTGGAAGTATGGTCACTTTGTTAATATTAATTCTTCCTATCAAAGAGCAAGTAGATCTTTCCATCTGCTAAGGTCTTCTTTGATTTCTTTCTTCAGAGTTCTGTAATTTTCGTTATATAAATCATTCACCTCTTTTGTTARGTTGATTCCCAAGTATTTTATTTATTTTTTTGAGGCTATTTTAATGAGGATAGTTTTTCTCATTTCCCTTTCTGAGGATTTATCACTGATATACAGAAATGCCTTTGATTTATGGGTGTTAGTTTTATATCCTGCTACTTTGCTGAATTCATTTACTAGTTAGAAGTTTTCTGGTGGAATTTTTAGGGTCTTCTAGGTATAGAATCACATCATCAGCAAATAGTGCCAATTTGAGTTTCTCTTTTCCTATGTGTATCCCTTTAGTTTCAAGAACTATGTTAAATAGAAGTCATGAAAGAGGTCATCCCTTTCTTGTTCCAGTTTTTAGAGGGAATGCCTTCAATTTTTCTCCATTTAGAATAATGTTGGCCTTTATACATCAATTTTAAATAGGAAAATGTTACACAAAGAGAGAAATCAGAAGAGAATGGAGAAACAGCAATAATTTAAGCTCTTCCTGGGTAAAAGTATTATATCATTTAATTATAAAACACAGTAGTGATACTTAACTTTCCTAAAACACTTCAAAGAGAGTTTGTATATGTGCCCCCCCACCCCCGCGCGCAAGAAAAATGCATCTTATTTTAAAACTGTTGCATTTTAGGGAAAGATTTAAGGTCAATCCTTTTATTTTTTTTTTTTTTT